AGTGAGTAGATCATCCATCATCCATAATTTGATGACTCTTTAACTAACTGAATAAATGTGGGATGTCCTTTGAATCCCAGAAACAATAACTGAAATGTGTGTATTATGTGTGTGTGTGTGTGTATAATATATGTATTAAATATATATGTGTGTGTGTGTGTACAACTTAACTCAGTATTTCTCAATCCTCACTGCAAGTTAGATTCATTTGGACAATCTTAAAAAATAACAGTGCTTAGGTTTCACACAACATCCATTAAATCAGTCTCTGAAGTTGGGACCCATGCATTTTGAAAAGTTTCTTTAGGTTGATTCTAATCTACAATCAGCATAGGAAAATATGTAACTGTCTTTATGTTTTTTTAAAACACAAAGTAAGCTCATTCATTTTTTCATATTTATGTCTTTTAGCATGATTTCATATAAAAAAATCTTTTTACAAGTAATCTTTCTGAAGACTCTTTGGCCTTTTCCAAATGCTTATGAAAACCACTTCAAGTTTGGAATTTTTCTTTAGATCACAAAATTTGTTCCCTGACTATGTTGATACTGTATTGGCCTAGGAATAGGCTTCTTGGGGTTTCAGGATAATAGACATTTCCCAAGAAATAATTCAGGTGAATGTATCATCACTCACAATCAAGAAACACTGCAGTACTTGAACTTACTCAGAAGTTCTTGCTTTTTATTCATATTTTCACTTTCCTTGTTGTCTGATAGACACTCAGATATGTGCTGGTGCTCCCCATTCAACTGAAGTAGCTGTCATTTGCTCAGATGTTTCTTATTAGAAATGTTTTCCCTAAATACTTTGGCTAACATGACTCCCAACCACTGCAATCGCCCATTATTCTCTTCCCTTATTTATTTTTATTTACACCACTTTTCACATATTAACATAATTTAATCCGCTTGTGATTATTTTGTCCTAAGAGTATAAGCTCCATAAATGCAGAGGTTGTGAATGTTCACTGTTGTTTTTCTTCCTAGTACTTGTTGAAAGAATGAAAGAAAAGTATTCTGGCAGAGTGTACTAATTTATTGTATTTCTCCCTTTTTTCATTCCCATGGAATTTTGCTATGTATTTAGAAGTAATATTTAGGTAACAGAAATGTTCTTAATAGTAGGAATCATTTTACCTACTACTGGCTAGTGTTGGGGACTGGCCCCATCACCGGTTGTTGGGGGGCAGAACTGGAAGGGTCCTAGGTGAGAGCAGTGTTGTGAGTGGAGATTCCTAAAAGGGGGGAAAAGGGAAGCGGGCACCAGGAAGACACGGGAATTGGAGTTGGGTGCAAGTCCTCCTGTTCTGCTTAGCAGAAGTTTATTTTGTACATTTCAAGCAAGCAGTGGGAAAACATTAGCATATGAGTTGGCTGAAAGATCACAATCATCTTTTTTTTCTCAGAACATTTTGGGGTGGTATTAACCTTCAGCTGAGATTATAACATTTATTATTCTTAAAATCAGTTTATTAAAGTTAAGACAGGTACATAAATTCATAAAATTTAATGCTAACATTGCTATATTTACCACAGTGATGATTAGCTAAAACAAAGTCCCTTTAAACCTTAAATGCTTCTTAATGACCTTCATTTTCATTGAGACATCTCAGAGGGTAAAGTAAAGTCAAGGACTAGGGTGGAGAAGTTTTCTTGTAGATAAATCACTAAGGGAGATAGTAAGATTCCTTACTTAAAGACTAAGCAATAGAAAGCTTAAGTAAGAGAGGAGAGTGATAAGATTTGGGTTCTTGTCAGGGCAGTAAAAGAACTCTGATTATTTTTTAATATGTTCTAGTACTCCCTTGTTTTACAATATTGATTTTGTTATAAGCCAATTGCTTTTATTAATCAGCCAGTTGTAATATTATTTTTGACTTCAAGAGGAATTTCCCATCCTGGGGCAGCACTTGCTTGCCTGGGCCAGGCAGTGCCTTATGAGGCTAAGGCAATCCAGTTGTAAACTGATGGCTGCTCAGAATATTTTGATGATTATACAAAAAAAGGGAGGCCATAACATAAGTTAGCTTGGAAATTCTGATTTTCAGAGCATTTCCCTTCCATCAGATTGTGTCTGGTGACAGAAGTTGCATAGCTTGTGTCAGCTAGTAGTCTTATTTCTCCCCCAACAACAGTTAGCATTCTTGTGATCTATTTATCCCAGACATTAACTCTGATAATGTATAACCCACAAACATATTGCTGAAGTGAAATAATTAATGCACACTGGGGTTGTCTGGAGATTGCGGAAAGCTAGACTCTCTTGGTTTACAAGTGACTAGTTGAGAGATTTCTGTCAGGTGCTTCCTGTGTTAGGACTAGAATGTCATTTTCTGCTTTCTAGAATCTTACCATCTATTTGGAGATATAAACCTTATGTGTATAAGATGTGAGAATGGTTATAAAACTTTGAGAAATGTAAGATTCAAGACAAATGCAAATGCAAATTGAATATTAGCTTTTGGATATATATTATAGATGTGGCAGGTTAGAATGGTCTAGAACTGCTAGAAACTAAGTTTTAATGCAGAATGTGAAAGCAATAAAGCAAATAGATCCATTCACTTTGGTGCTTTTCTGTTCACAAGCCCTGAATTCTTTACCTAAGTGCTTCCAGAATTCTGTTCTCTCTTCTTTATAACATTTGATTTCTGTTTTTCTCCTTTATGAATTTGTACTAAGTTAATGTCCAACGCCATGTGATAACCATGACGATTATTACTTTGAATCATGTATTGACTTTCATGTGATGCTATTCAAAGTATGTCTGTTGTTCTTATTGGAGTACATTAGCCTTTTGAACTTGAGACCTTCTGTTAACCCCTGTTGTTTCTTGATATTTTTCTACTACTCTTTTTGTCCTGGTGGGCTGAGCTATAAGAACTACTTAGCCAGTTAGATGAAAGAGCTGGAATATTTTTGCAATATTCTTTTTAGAGTTAAAAAAAAATCCACGTAAAATACCCAGGGCCATGAGACCAGAAAAAGTTTTAGCACTGCATATTGGTGATGGCTGCCTAAAATTGTGACTATGCTTAATAACACTAAATTCTTATTTATACTACTTAAAATGGTTATAATATTTTATTATGGTTTTTGCCATGATAAAAAGAAAAATAAAAAAAATTCTATCTACTCAAAGGTTTGGGATGTTGTCCTTTTGAATCAAATAAGCATATTTATCCACTTACTTTATAAAAGTTAAGATTAGAAATGCCATTTTTAAGTCTAGTGACACATACATGCTATTAGATCTAATGTATTTCAGGTTATGTGTATGGAGTAAGGATAGGTATCAGAAGTTCAGGTCTTAGTGTTAAGTGTATTCATAGTCTTCTGATACCAGGTATGGGACTTAAGCAAGATACAATTTTTTGTTATGACTCAGTTTCCTCACTAATAAAATGGGGGATAATATCTATTTTAGTATGATGTAAACATAGAAAGGAGTCATATGTGAAAAGTGCTTAGAACTGGAATCAGCATTTAGTAAATACTTAATGGTAGTGACTTCTCAAAGAGACTTATATGTACTTTTTGAACACCACTTTTCTATAAATGCTATGAAGGATCCACCTGCAGTGAAAGGAAGCCCTTTCATTCTGCCTTCATAGGATTGTAATTGGGACTCTTTGACCTGGTAACTAGATTCTGGCACAGAGCTCATTTTGATTAAACAAAAAGCTCATCAGATAAAGCAATCACCTCCCTACTTCTGCAAGCTTCTTTCCCTATCTCAGGAGCTCTCCTCTAAGTATTTTTGAACTCAACCCTTTCTGTAAAAGAGAGCAGATCTAGCTTTTGGTAGAACTCAGTGCCAGCTCAGCACACACCTCTCTAAGTCATTACAAGTAGCATGTGTTATGACAAAGGAAGAGGTTATTGCCAACATAGATTTGTAAAGAAAGCAAGAAGGAAGAAAAAGAAATAAAAAAAAAATAAGGAAGGCAGAAAAAAATGAGGGTGAACGATAAAGAAAGCTGTTTGTTTTTAAATCAACGTCCAAATAACTGACTTGAAATTTGTCAAAATGTTGGCAGTGTAGGTCACACTCTCAGCTTAAACCAGCGCATAAAGAAGTTGATATAAAAACTTAAAGATCGGGCTCTCCCTGGTGGCTCAACAGGTTAAAGCATCACATGATGAAGCTCTCCAAAGCCACTGCAGCACAGTTGGGTCCCCCGCCAGGGAGCTGACCACATGGCAAGCAGACCTCTCCTGACCCACCCGCTGGCTGCTCTTCTCAGCAGTGTATTTCAGTAGATCTGCCTGTTCTCCTCCCCACTCTGTCTCTAGTGAATCCTCTCACCCACCACACCTCTGGCCTATACCCCAGTTCTGTAAGCATAAATAAATCTTAAAAAAGAAATAAAAAACCCCCAAAATTTAAAGATCATGACTCCTACACTTGATAAAAGTGTTCTAAGGATCATAATTCAAATGGGAAAACTGCTTTTACTAGTCCCAGCTCAGCACATGACTTCCCTCATTTCTTTGCTATCAATTGAATGTCAACTGTACATGAAGCAGTTTTGCCAAGGGGTGTGAAGAAAACAGTTAAGTGTAAAACTTATTCCCTGGCTCTCAAGGAGTTGACCACAGCGCTGGAGAGATTAGAGTGGTCAATGAAACATGACAAACGAGTTGGCAGGGATCTTGAAGGCGGAGGAATTCACAGTTAGGGATCATTTGGGGGCAAAGGGACTTATCAAGGATGGCTCTAAGAGGTGGACTGTAAAGCAGGCGCTAAGTGGCTTGTGGGATTTTAAGTAGGCGGAAAGTCATGGTGTTACAACACGGCGACGACTCAGGGCCTGAAGAGGCAGACCGCCCTAACTTCTAGAGCCTTCGCGCGTGCGCAGCCAAACGCTCTCGCGACGGGCTCGCTGCCCACGGGAAGGCTGCCAGGGCCAGCGAGCGCGAGACCCCGCGCGCCAAGGCGGGAAAAGGCTCGCGCATGCGCGGCAGCAGCTTCGGGCTCGCCAGGATGGGGAAGGGGAGGTGGAGTTTCCAAGAGGGAACTTGACCCGTTAGCAGCCGCGGCCATGGCGGCGCGCTCGTCGTCCTCATCGTTCCCGCCGTCCTCACCGGTCCCTCCGCCCCCAAATCGACAGTTGGGGCCTTGGTCCCCACGAGTTGGTCGGGGAGCTGTGGTCCATGCAGTGCGCAGCGAGGCCTCGGGTCTTGCGGACACCGCGCAGGGGGGCGTCGGGGACAAAAGCGACAAATCCTGGCAGGGCGAAGAAGGGTCTGGGGGCCGGCGAGGGCCGGGGCGGGCGGCTGCTGTTCAGGCTCCCCTCCTCAGCTCGCCTGTGGGGTCCAAGCCGCTAGAGGGCATCTCGGTAGAGGAAGCGATGGTGACCCGGACGCAGCTGCTGGAGGAAGAGCTGAGCAGCCTAAAGGAGGAGCTGGCCCTGTGTCAGGTATCGAGGACTCTGGCCACCGGCCTTTCCCCTCCTCAGCGGAGAGGCATCGAAGCCGGGGGGTGGTGCGCCCCACTCCCTCGGATCTGGCTCAGCTGCCGCGCGGATTTGGACCCACCCTGCCCGCCAGCTGGGGGCCCTCCTACTCCCACACCCAGTCGGGGCCGCTGCTAGGTGCTGGAGAGACGTGGCCTGCACCCGGCTCCCAGACCCTGGGTTCCCATCCCTTTCAGGTCACCTATCTAGCAGGGTTCACCTCAGTGTACCGGGTTGGTTTTATTCATTTGGCTACGAAAAATCCTGTGGCACCCCTCCCTTCCCCAGAGCCCAAGTTGTTGATGGTGGCTGTAGTGGTACTGATGCAGCAGGTGTGGAGTGCTGTCCACCAGTTGAAAGTGTTGCCCGGAAAGTGTAAACACGTAATTAAAATCCATGGTTAAAGGAGCCTGTTATTAATTTTAAACCCACACTTGCTTTTGCTAAGTCAAGTCAAACTTCACTTGTAAACACAGGCCAATAATTTTGAAGGAGTCTCAGGCTGGGAACTTTTAACACTCGGTAGATGATTCCTGATACTTGATATTAACTAGTTATGTCCTAAGCCCTTAAGTGAGAAATCTCATTTCTGTGTCTTCAAGGAAAGGTATTTACGAAATCAGTTTTGTTGACAGTACTCGCCTGTTAGTTTTAGTGTTTGTGATTAGTAAGTTGATTGATTGTACACATGTTCGCAGAAATTTGATTTTCCTTTAGCATCCTTACCATCATCTGTTCCTGGAACATTTAGATAGCATGGAGGGCTTAAAAGTTGGCGGCTCATTAGCAGTAGATCTTTGCAACCCTTTATCTTCAAAATAGAATCAGTTAGAGCCACTACAGACCAAAGTAACTATAAAGAGTATCATTAAAGTATACAAATTCATGAAATTCATTCCCATAGGTTTTTTTCTTTTGCCCTTTTATAGGTCTTTAATTGAGTCAGTGTTGTAAAAAATAGGATAATGTTGCTAAGATTGAATAGTCTTTCCTTAAATAATTTGGAGAGGCATCATGTGGTTGCTTCTTTTAAATTTTCTATTCTCTGCTTAAGAAACAAGGGGATACAGACACCAATAAACTAAAATATTGTGTTATCTGCCCACCTTACTCTTGGTTAGTTTTAATATATAAGCCCATGGTAAAAGATTTTATTACTTTGACAAGTCCTAATCTAAGTGGCTCTTTGCCCATTTCTTCTGCATCCTCTCTTACAACCTCTTATCATTTCCCATCATTATGCCTTTAACTGCTTAAGGAGCTAAGACATTTACTTCTAGTGATTGACTTGATTAAGAAAATCAGTCTTTTGGAATAAGCCCCAAATCTCCCATCTCCAAATCAAGTCACTATAGTGTTTTTTAAAAAGTTATTCCAAACATGGTGTTGACCTTTGTGACCTTGTACATAAGTGGACTAGAAAGCTGATTGAAGTACTTTAAGTAGGTATTAGAATGTAGGGGGTCATAATTAGTCTAGAACTTAATCAGCATAGGAAATCTTAAAATTTTTTGGTAATATTGATATTGCTAGGTGGTTATAGGCATTCCAGTAATGTGAGATGAGGCTGTCATTATCCCCATACCATAAACCATTAACTAAACTATATTGCTCTTGGGGAAACTTGGGAGAAATAATAATTGAACTCCCAATTATTTTGTAAAGACACATTTTTAAAATTTGTTCTACTTATTCAGCTAAGAATTGCAATATCCAAGAATATACAATGTTAACCTTATATTCTACAAATCTTTTAAAAATTGCAACCCAAAGTAAGGAATTTATTTTGCTTTTCAACCTAATAAGTACACACATCTGTAACATTTCTGAAGGAAAATCTAATCTGTGTATCATGAACTCTGGTAGGTATTTTTCTTATAAATTATATTGTTTAAGAAAATGCTGTTTGAATTTACTAAATTAATTTTTACAGCAACTAATGGGTCAGGGTACAGTTTGGGAAAAAGAACCCTGCCAATTAGCACCTGGTTGTAAGGAACTTCATTATATTAGTGGATTTCCTCCCCACCTCCATGAACATACAGGACTCAGTTAAATGTGTTTAGTGAAGAAGTAGGATTCTCTGGGTCCATGTACCATTCCACTCCATTGGAATGACTCCGAATAAGCATGTTACAGAAAACAATCTCAGTTCCATCTCTTAACATGAACATCTAATCCTACTCTATGTGATTGTGATACTTAATGTTTTTTTGTTTGTTTTATGTGGTTCTGAATTGTCAGGTAACATACAAATAATGCTTAGTTGAGGAGGGAGAAAAACTGCATTGGTCTTTATTGAGGGTTGGTTAGATTCCAAATGTAGCTTTTTCCTTAAGAACTTAGAATAATGCACTGAAAGTTATTTTAAATTCATTTAATACTTAAATTCCTAAAAATTCAAGTCTTATCAAGAGATACAGAGTCTAAGTTCATCATACTCTTAATTTTGTTTATGTACTTCAAGAATGTATTCTTTTTGCCACAGAGGATGCTGCAATATATGTATTATACTTTTATTAACTGCAGAATATCAGATGAGAAAAAGTAATGTTAAAGTAACTGTACATATATATATGAACACATATACAGTATCTTTTCAAAACTTATTTAATTTTTTAATAGCAATCAAAATTACTTATGACCAATAAACCAGTATTAAGTAAGAGATTATGTATGGTATTTAAATTAAATTTGTGTTCATTTTTCCAACTTCAGTGATAAAACTTTCATGAAGTATTTGATGATGGAATTAACAGTTATAACAAGAACTCAAAGTTAAAATTTTTTTAGACATTTATATTTCCAGTTATGTTCAAAGAAAAATTTTGGGAACATATTGTATATTGTATAGAGTTGTGAGTTGCTATATTATAGATGAATCTTTTTGTGCCATTTTTCATAGTAATTTATGAATGGCTATTTTGAATCATACTGTAGGGTAAGTGAATAGTCAGGCTTTTGTCCCGCTGGCCCGTGGCTGTCACCTGTGGCCTTGATTGTGCTATTGCAAGAAGTACTTGGGAAATGCTTGGGCTCTGGGCACTCTTGCCTGATGGTGAACACCTGCAGTCTGGTGAGGGCGTGCTAAGTGGGAACACCAGAGCCTGGAGGCTGAGTCTAGAAGGGTAGCATCAGTCAGAGAATGACAGTAGTGGAGAATGGCTGTGAGAGTAAGAGCCCAGAAAAAGTGAAGAGTTACGTGGGTCTTGGAGGCCAGCTGGTCTCATGGTCTTCTGCCCTGCCTGCCTTAACATAGAAAGAACATTAAAGCTCGAAAAAGCTGCTGTGGTCTCCAGGACTCTTCTTTACCCATCTCTGGACCTGATAAGAGAACCTGCCCTGTGCTTGCTGGCGCTACACATACCGTGCAATTAAATTCCTTCCATTAATTTCCCCTGAATTCTAGTAAGCAAATATTTTAAGTGTGGGAAATAGTATTTATGATTTTTGTGTTAATTCCTCCAATTAGAGTCAGTTGAGGTCAGTTATGTTGCTAAGGTACTCTCCCAGCTAAATTAGGAGCTCAGAGAGTAGGTACTTAATGAAAAGGCAATTGTGGGTTTTTGGTTTGTCAGGTTGATCTAGGCCAGTTGATAGTGAAAGTCAAAAGTTAACCCACTGCAAAAATAGTTTATACCTGAATCTCTTAGCATTTAGCCATCCTTCTTACAGGCTGAGTTTAATAACCTTTTTTGAAGAGTTGGATGATTTTTTTAATACAAATTTTAGATTACTTGAAACTGGGTGCTAGGTCTAAAGTATAATTTTATGAGTAATTTTAAAAAGTTATTTTTAAATTAAAAAAAACTTTTAAGTGCTAAATTAAAAAAAACTTAAGTGCTAAAGGAAGAGGAAATATAAAGAATATGATTGGCAATAGCCAGTTTATTTGTTTCAATAATACCTGGAATTGTTTGGAAATAGTTTTATATTTTTGGGGATATCTTTCTTTTTTTCTATGTCTAATAATTGTAGTATTAATCAAATTATACAGTGTTAAAGTTAAAAGACAAAACCCGAAAATTCATGTATAGAAGTCCTAAAATCTCTTCATAGCTTTTTACTGCTCATTAAAAAAATTATTTCCCTCCAACTTGTCTCACTTATATACTAATATAGCTAGATATCAAAGTCTGAATACCGTTGCTGACTATGAATTATTAATAAAAATTAATAACTAAAATTTAAACAAGAAATTTAGAAACTTGAAGGGTCTCCCACAAACATCTTAGGAGTTTAAAGTAGTTTATGGAAGAGTCCTCTAGTTGCTTTTTTCTCTGCCCTCTATGATTAAAAACAGCTTAAAGAAAGCTTATGTTCTTTTTGCTGGGGATTGAAGAGGAGATGTGAAATAACCACCATAAGTAAAAAAAAAAAAGGAAAAGCATAGGTTAAAATGTAAAGGTTTTTTTTTTTCCATCAGGTATTTATTGATTTTTATGTCCCTCTCAGTTCTACAGCTAGCTCCCTTATTAATAAGCTGTACTTATTTTAAGCAACTCAGTTATTTTTATAAATGTTGAATACCTTTTCTACATTTTTTCCTTAACCTTTCTTAGTGTTTTTTTTAGGTAGAAAAGTTGGGTTGGAAGTAGAAATGCACCTTTACTATTTTGTTGAGAAGCAAGTTATTAAATAGAGTTGTGGATAATGATTATTTGGAGGTATTTTGTAATTTCATTAACTGTTCTTTACAAAATAGAAATGTTAGAGCTATAATGTTGTATGGCCTGTTTTTTTTCTTCTTTGCCTTTTAAACAGGTTATGGTGTGTGATTGATATATATATATATATATATATATATATTTGTATTTATATCGTTTATAACTCGAATTATTTTTATTCCTAAATGCTGAATTCTTGCTTCCAAAGGGATAAAGTGAATCATGATATTTAGACTAGCTAGGTAAGATAGTACTCAGACTATCAAATTTTTAAAAATACCCAACAGTGGGCCCTCCCTGATGGTGCAACAGGTTAGGACTAAGCACTGCAATCTAGCCGCAGCCACTCCAGTGCAAGTTCTATCCCCAGCCCTGGAGGTGATGCACATGGTGCATCAGACCTCTCCTATCTTGGTCACTGCTCCACTCAGCAGTGTACTTAGTGGATCTGCCTACTCTGCTCCCCACTCTGTCTCTGGTGAATCCTCTCACCACACCTGCACCTCTGGCCTATATCCCAGTTCAGTATGGATAAATAAATAAATCTTTAAAAAGAAGAAAAGTAAAAGACAAGTAGGAGTTAAAATATAGCAAAGATTTTATTAAAAGTTGAAGATTAAAAACGATAGAAGAATGTGTGAAAAATACACTTCTAATCTTGAATAATGAAGGCCTCTTATTATGTAAAATCCTTAAACCCTAAAGGAGATGATAGATACATTTAAATTTGTAAACTTATTAAGTACTGTTATTAAGTACCTTTTCTTCAGTCTCAGAGTTAAATATCCAGCTACATACTGGAAATAATATTCGATGGAAGTCTAATTTTAAAATTAGACTTCAGTGCAACTCTTTATTTCCTTACTAGCATATAGTTATATAACCCATGGGCAAGAGAAACTAGTGTTTAGTTGGGCATTAAAGAGCTAAAATGGATTCTGATACTAACAGGGATATGAAAATGGATGCCAGAGAAAGATACAGATAGAGATCTGCCATACCAGTAAACACGATAAACATGATATTAAAAAATAAACTATGTAAGCCCTCCCTGGTGGCGCAGTGGTTAAAGCACAGCACTAAGAAGCTAAAGCCACTTCCACATGAGTTCGATCCCCGCCTGCCCCGGAGGTGACCACATGGCGTGGCAGACCTCTCCTAACCCGCCTGCTGCTCCCCTCAGCAGTGTACTTCGTTGATCTGCCTGTTCTGCTCTCCACTCTGTCTCTGGTGAAGCCTCTCGCCACCCCTGAGCCTCTGGCCTGTACCCCAGTTCTGTATGCACAAATAAATAAATCTTTAAAAAATATATATAATATAAAAAAAACTATGTGATGAAAAAAAATTGAACATGATAAGGAGCTATCCTAGACTTACCAAGTGTTGGTCACTATATATACCCATATATATGTATATATGTACATATATGTGTGCACATATATGTATATATTTGTATATACATATATATGTGTATACACATATATGTACACACACACACACATATATATATATAAAATCAAGAGAGACTTCTCTTGAAAAGGTAACATTTAAACAAACACTTGAATTATGTGTAGGGATCATCTACATGAAAATCTGGTTGATGGTGAGTGTGCAACGATCCTACAAGTAGAGTAAGAGATCAGTGTGAACAAGGGAGACTGATCAATGAGATTGGTGAATTGTGTATTTGGCAGGATAATGTAGGGTCTTAGCACTGAGGAAGTAGTGAGAGTGGTTATTAGTAACTCTCTCAAGCAAGTTTATTGAAAAGGGGAGCTGAAAAATGAAGAAATAGCTGGAAACGAGTCTTCTTCTAGAGTAAAAGTTCTGTGATATTCAACATTTCAACATGTATACCTCAAAATCTGTGTAGTAAGAAGTAAAAGTGAATGTAAATTTCCAATGTAAGAACTTTTGAAAATAAGCTTTCCTGCTATTCTCAATAATCTGTTTTATAATATTAAAACTAGGGATCGGATCATTATATTTTTCATTTTTAAATGTAATGTAGTATCCTGTCTTTTCTGATATAGGAATATTTAAAGATGTCTTTTGTTTCTTTAAGGCTGATAAAGAATTTGTATGGTCTTTGTGGAAACGACTCCAGGTGACAAACCCAGATCTCACACAAGCAGTCAGTTTGGTTGTGGAAAGGTGAGTTTTTCTTTCATGAGTATGTTTTATTCAGTTATTAAATTTGAAATGATATTATTGTTCTATAACTGTGTACCATGATTGAATTTATTATGTTTATATTAAGGGGTATTAGTTACTGAGTATAGATAAGCTAGATCTCATGCTCATATTCTGGTATATTTGAAAAATTTGAGGGTAAGAGATAAAGCTATGACTTCAGCATGTATACTTGATTGCTCTGTATGTTTGTTGAGAGCTGTTATAACTCAATTTTTAAAAGTCCCTGTTGTTTGACTTCTTACTCGACACTGCCCTTCTTTGTGAGTTCCTTTACATGATGCTTCCTAGATATGGCTTTTTTTCCTTAATTTAATTCCAGTTTGTGCTTGAACATCCGGGATGACCTTGCCATAGTAGAGTAAGTGTTCTGGAATAGGTTGAGGGATTTCTCTTAATACTTTGTATTACCCTGCAGGGGATGCCCAGTCATTTAGCTATAGATTATTTGGCTGCTCCTTGGTCATTAGAAACAGTGGAGTGGTGCCGGGTATTCCTTATCAAACATTTGGTATACAGTAGTCCCATGACACTTAACACAGCCATTAAAGCATTTACTTCCCTATTTAATGCACTTCATTATATTTCCTAAATGAGAAGCTAAGCATATGGATGCCTTATCCTTTTTCTTTATTGGAATCATGATTATATAATCTGAATATAATTTTTGGGAGGATAAATTTACTTATATTCAGCTTGGTAGTCTCTAGTCCTGAGATCGTGTCATTTTTGTCTGTAATTTGACTTTCTAAAGTCTATCTAAGTTTAATTTTAATATTTTCAGTTACTTTTTCTTTATCTTTTTTCATTTTGTTTACATGCGTTTTACAACTTTCATTTTTTTTTTTTAATTGAGAGAATGTTGGTTTGTATTATTGTTTGTGTTTTAGATGTATAAGATCTCCACCTTCAGAAATTGTTACTATACCATATTCACCATCAAGGCAGTCTGTTGTGCTCCCTCTCACTTTGTTCTTCCTTGAACTGTTTCTTGGTTTCTCTATATTTCACATATAAGTGACACCATACAGTATTTGTCTTTCTCCTGATTTGTTTTGCTTAACTCAGTCTCTTTCATCTGTGTCCATATTGTCCTCAGTGGCAAGAGTTTACCTTTTCAATAGCTGAATAGTGTTCTACCACTTTTGTATGTCTACCACATCTTCCCAGTCCTTCATCTATGTTTGGGTACTTAGATTTCCATAACTCGGCAGTTGTAAATAGTGCTGCAGTGAACATCCAAGTGCATGTTTCCCTTAGAATCAACGTTTTTTTATGTTCTTAGGATAACTACCTCGTAGTAGAACTGCTGAGTCTGATAGGAGATACATTTCTAATGTTTTGAGAAATTTCCATGCTGTTTTCCATAGGGGGCTGGCCAGAGTGTAAGAGGATTCCTTTTTCACCATACTCTCCTAATACTTGTTTTTGGTCTTTTAGATATGGGCCACTCTTACAGGTGTGAGGTAGTATCTCATGGTGGTTTTGATTTGCAACTCCTTGATGATAAGTGACAATGAACACATTATCACGAGCCTCTTGGCCATCTCTATGTCTTCCTTGGATAATTTCTTACTTATTTCTTCTGTCTATTTTTTTTATTGGGTTCTTTGGTTTCTTTTTTTGTTGAGCTGTATGAGTTCATTGTAGATTTTGGGTATCAGCCCATATGAGAAGTATGGTGTGCATATTTTTTTCCCATTTAATATAAGGGTGACTTCTTGTTTCAGTGATAGTTTATTTTGCTGTGCAGAAGTTTTCTAATTTTTTTTATAGGCTCAGTTGTTTACTTTTTGTTATTAGATATGATTCCACAAAGAATTCTCTTGGGCATAATTTGTGGAGTGTTTTGCCTATATTTTTTTCTATATATGGTCTGGTCTCAGGTCTTAAGTTCAAGTCTTGCATGTATTTTAACTTGATTTTTATATATGTTCTGAGGTAGAACTTGATTTTTATATATGTTCTGAGATAGTCATATAGCTTAACTTTTTTACAGTTGATGATCCAGTTTTCCCAAAACCATTTGTTGAAGAGTCTTTCCTTGCTCTGTTGTACACTCTTGGCTCCTTTGTTGTAGATGAACTTTCCTTTGAGGTGTGTGTTTACTCCTGGGCTCTCAGTTGTTGATATTTTCTATTTGTCTGTTTTTTCCCCTCTAGTTAATACTGTTTTGAGAATTAAAACATTGTAGTGCAATTTTAAAACAGGGAGTATGTACATTTTTATATTCGTGTATTTCTAGGAATTTGTCCTTGTCTTTTAGGTTAATGAACTTAGTAGCATACATATAGTAATCACTTATAGTCCTCTGTATTATTGAGATGTCTGTTGTAACCTCTCTCATTTCTGATTCTATTTATTTGTGTGTCTCCCTTTTCTTTGTCAGCCTATCTCTAGGTTTCTCTATTTTGTTTATTTATTTTTTTCCAAAAAACCAGCTTTTGTTTTATCATTGTTTTAGACTATCTTTTTGATTTCTGTTTCACTTATTTCTGCTTTAATATGTTCTTATTTCCTTCCTTCTACTGTCTTTGGCCTGAGCACCTTAATGTGAGAGATAAGATTATTTACTTGAATTCTTTTTTGTTTCTTGATGTGGCCTGTATTGCTTTGTATTTCCTGTTAGTACTGCTTTTGTCGCCTCCTATAAATTTTGGATGGTTGTGTCCTCACTGTTATTTATCTTGAGGCATTTTAATTTCTCCCTTGATTTCCTCTTTAGCCCAGTAGTCATTTAGTATGTAGTTCAGTCTTACATATTAGAGCTTTTTTTCCTGCTTTCTTGTTGTGGTTGATTTTTAATTTGATACCTATATATTCAGAGATGCTTGTAATGATTCAGTCTTCATGAATTGTTAATACTTTTTCTTTGACCCAACTTGTGATCTGTCCTGGAGAATATCCCATTTGCACTAAAGAGGAATGTTTATGAAGATTTTTGGGGGTACAGTGTACCTTAAATCTTTATTAAGCCCATATGTTCTTATTCTTTGTTCAAAGTTATTGTGCCTTTATTTATTTTCTGTATGTTTGATCTGTCCATTGGTGAAAGTGGATTGTTGAAATCACCTCCCATGAATATTTTTCCAATGCTTATTTTCAGACATTTTCTAGGAAATGCCTTATATATGTTCCTTTGTTTGGTGCATCTATATTGATGAGTGTTATTTCTCCTTGATGTATTTATTGTTCCCTTAATTATTACATAGTTTCCATCCCTGTCTCTAGTCTTTAGGTGGGAATTTTATAAAATGTGAGTATGATTGCCCTGACCTTCTTTTGGTCCCATTTCTTATTGTGTTGCTTTCCAACCCTTTATTTTGAGCCTGCTTTACATTTATTTTTGGAGCTATGTATATTTCTTGAAGAGAGCAAAAGGTTGGATTCTGTTTTTAATCCCACTAGATATTTTGTGTCTTTCAATTGGTATGTTTAGTCTTTTTACATCTTGATTGCTATGTGAAGGTCAACTGTTCCATTTTGTCCTTAATTTTATTCCTTCTTCAGTGCTTTCCAGATATTCTTCTCTTTGATTTATATACCTATAGCTTCTTAGAACATTTCTTGGACAATGGATGTAGGGTCTAGTGTTTGCAAACTCTAGCTTCTGTCTGTCTCAGAAGGCCTTTATTCATCCCAACCTCGTAACAGCAAGGAGAATATTGCAGGGCAGAGTAATCTTTTGTCTTTTAAGTATTTAATCACTTTGTTCCATTGTCTTTTTGCGCTTATTGTTTCTTCAGAGAAGTCTGATATCGGTCCAGTCTGGGTTACCCTGTAGATTATCTGATTCTTCTTACAGCTGGCTTCAGTATCACTTCTTGTCTTAAATTCTTGGACCTTCACCACTACCTATTGTGAGTCTCATTCTGTTCAGGTTCCCTGGTGTTCAGTTAGCTTTATAGATTTGTATGTGTTCCAACTCTAGGTTTGGAAGTTTTCCTGTTAATTTCTTTATAGCTAAGTTTTCTGCACCCTTACCTCTTTTTTTTACCCCTTTCTGGGAAACATGTAATTCTTATATTGCATTTCCTCATGGAGCTAGATAATCCTGGAAGTATTTTTTCATTCCCTCTCCCCCTTGTATCTCTTTCTTCTTCCTCCTGAAGTCTTTGTTCATTATCATCTTCAAGTCACTGATTGGATCTTCCATTTGATCTATCTACTTACATGGTTTTCTCCAGATTGCTTTATCTGTTAATCACTATATATGCTGTATCTCCATTGTTTTTAAGTTTAAACTTTGAGTTTTAATACTCCATTTTAACTTTCTCAGTACAGTCATTTGGTTTTATTGTATTTCTGTTTTCTTCCATTTCTTTATCATAGTAATTTTGAGTGCTAGGCCTGATAGGAAGAAACCATCATTCTGGTCTTCCTGGTTTTGATTTTGGAGGCTTGTTCTTGTTCTGTGATACGGTATACCCCCAAGGCCTCAGGCTGCCAGTAGTTGTGTCCTTTCTTCTCTCTATTTACATTCTGAATATTAGAAGTGCAGAGTTTCCATTTTTTCATTAGGTGGCACTCTATGACAGAGAGAACTAATCAGTAGCTAGGACTTCAGTGAGGAAGTAGAGAAGTATGGAGGGTCTCGAAATAACTGGAAAGATCCATGGGTTTTGAGGGCTTGGCTTGTTCCACTGGCAGTGCTCTTTGGGGCCTTGGATCCATGTCTCAGCATTTCCAATTGCACCCCAGAAGGTTCCAGTGTTGCCATACCCTATTAGCTCAGTCTTGCCTCTGCCTGCTCTTGGGGAAAATAGGTAGGATGAACTACGCTTTTCTGAGCTTTGTTTTCCTTACTGTGGTACTATTCTGCTTGTCTCCCATAGCTTTCATGCCTATATCTTCCCCAGCTTGATAACCAACAAGCAGCTTTGCCTGTTCTGGTACAGGTATGAAATCAGTTTCCACTCCAGTAGGCACCTTTTCCTCCTCTCACCAATTATGTTTTTTGA